CTAATAATATTATTTATTTATTAAAAAATGTACTAGCAATTTATTTATTTTACATGACTAGATAAGTTTTTGGAAATATTTATAATAAATTACTCTTTCGGTCTCTTAATTATAAATCGATTTAGTGATTATAAAACCTACCATTTAATTGGATTGATACATTTTTTAATGTTGAATTTTTACTTTTTTTTGTGTAATCACATATATTTAATCTTATTTATTTTTTTCTTAAAAAATAATAATTGATAAGCATTCATCAACGAAAATGTTATGCAATGTAATGCAAAAATTCAATTTAAATCAAATTTTCAACCAAAAAACTTATTTTTCCACAACTTATAGTTGTTGAAGTTAAATTATAAATACCTAAAATCACATTTAAAAAAAAAAAATTGTTTGAGGGTGATACATATTCTAAGTTTTTAAAAACTTGATGGTACATATATCGATATTTATACTTATAATAAATACATTTTTATATGAAATGAGCATTTCGACTTACACTACAATTTAACATTTAAAATTGGGCCCCCCTAAGTAAAATTTCTAGATCCGTCACTGATCATATCATACTGCTCTGTTCTCGACTTCATTCTAGTTCGTCGGAGCTCGAATTCTGGTGTGCTACAGCGTTCGAGACGTAAGCCGTTGTACCTTTGGGGACGAGACGCCTGTACCCGTCAGCACTATACGGGGCGTTTTCGTCTTGCGGAAAGAGCAATCGTCTCGACAATTTTTTCGCTTCTCTTTTGTAATTTCGATTCTGTTTTAGTTCACTTTGTACGAACTGAAATCATTATCTTCAGTTCATAGGTTCCCGTTGTAATTTAAACACACATTGTGTAACACGTTATTCGTGGGACCCTCGAGAGCTCGACTACTAACGGGGGCCGTTCGGTTTTTTCAACTCTACCACACTAAGGCTGGTGATTTCTGTGGGGAGGAGCTTCTTGCGTGGGCCCTACTCCCAAGGTCGACACTCAACTTGCCATCCTCCAATCGAACAGTTAAGGCGCTTAGCGAAGTCGAGGCTTTTGCTCTCCGAGCCGAGGATCTCAAGTTCGTCGCCAATCAATTCAGGCGCTTGCATAGCAAGAAATTGCAGCACACATTTAGGTACTTGACTTAGATGTTTATTTCGATATTCATGGTAACACAAAACTCCTCGACCGGCTAGAACTCGAATAATCGCCTTCCTTCTCGCCGATTTGGACGTCGTGTACCTACAAAGAACTCTCACACCGGAGGGGTTTTCCGGTGAAGAGCCTCCGATGCTTAAGTCAGTGTGTATTTAATCAATTCTCAAGAGTAATAGAATGATCGTGTTGAAGAAGAAAGGCTCACCCCCTTTATATAGGGGTGAGATACCTGACCTAGGGCTGCCCGGATTTGATGAGCTGTCTGCCCTAACTGCCCGTCCGTACATACCAAACGCGTGTGTCAGGGGTAGCCGCCTCCACTATCTTTCGCACCAATCCTTTTTGGACGCGTGTCCTCCTGCACATGGGGTATGTTGTCAGAGGTGGTTATCGCCATCCACCACTGCCTTCTCGACACGTGTCCCCTTCACATGGGGCAGATATTCCCCTGGAATTCTGTCAGAGGCTCTTCCCACGCGCCTGTAAATAGGCCGATCATCGTGGTGTTAACTCCTCGAAGTATTCGACCTATCGAGGTCGAATAGGTTGCTCGATCATGCATCTGGCCGAAAGATAGTTTGGTCGACAGCTTTATTTGGTCGACTGAGTGACCGCCCGATTTCCCCGACTTTCTCATAGTACGACTTCTTCGACCGGTGCGGAGATCGGTTCGGCCCAGTGGATATAATATCCCATATCAGTGTAACACGTTATTCGTGGGACCCTCGAGAGCTCGACTACTAACGGGGGCCGTTCGGGTTTT